AAATGCCTTTTTGTGTTGGTCTGCCCAAATGAATTGTTGCTTCAGATGGGTGAGGTCTTGAAGGGGGTGAACCACCCTACTGAGACGTGGACAGAATTTTCTGGTGCCAAGAAAACGACGCGTAGCAGCTTTGTCTTCTGGTTGCATATCGAGTACAGCCTTCGATATCTCAGGACGGGTTTAAGACCATCAGAAGTGAGTACATGGCCCATGAAAGCAGCACTTTGAGACTTGAATTTGATCTTGTCTTGATTAAGCTTCAGGTTGTGGGATGTCAAACGCCTGAGCAGTTCTAGGGCCGTCTTGTCATGGTCGAGGGCTGCCTGGTCAATAGAATCTCTCCGCCCAATAACAATAATATCATTGGCAATATTCAGTACCCCCTCCATATCACGAATAACATTGTGGAGACATCACTGAAACTCCTCTGGGGCTGAGCTGACCCCAAATGGGAGACGTATCCATCGGTAATAGGGACTTTAAGATCTGGGACGCGACGACTTCTAGAACGCGGTGGCTGATAAAGGACTGGACCTGTAGAACGCCGTCGTTTGCGCGCGAAAAGTAAAGTTAAGATCTCTGTCGCGATGCAAGACGACGCGGCTGCAAACTGCTCTTTATCAGTGTGATTCTTCGGCGATTCTTTCGCAGAAATAGCCATGGCATCATTTAAGAAAGTCCAAGAAATGCTTTGTTTGTGCTTTGTTCGATAGCATCACCTCCACTTCTTCGTTGACGCTTCGGTTTGTCATCGCTTTCATCCTCTGATGAACCTCTTTTCTTCGTCTCTGACAGCTTCTCCATTGCTTTTAGTCTAACATCTTTCACTTTAGCCCGATCGTATTGACGTTTTTTGCTAGCTGTTCCCTGTGTTTCCTGTAATTCCGCTTCGCCACTTTCCTCCAACGCGATGATCATATCCAATAGGTTTTCTAGTCCCGTTGGCTCATCGGGAGTTATCCCAGTTGCTTTTTCCTCCGCTAGAAGTTTCTTCTTATGCTTGTAAACAAGGATTCCCACGTGGTCTCGGACTGATCGCTTATCAACCCTGGATTTCGGCACAGTGAATTTGTTCAAGTTTTCTGCTATTTTTTCCCACATTCTACTTCTTTGTGTTGACCCTTTCTTAGTTGTGTAGGGATTTACATTGACGACTTCTCTGCATAGAATGGCTTCATGATCATGAGTCCAAAACATTACTGAACTAAAGAGAAGCATAAAAACACACACAGTTTAATAAAATTAGATTAAATAATACAGGCTTAAAATTGGCTTTTAGCCGCAGATGAACGCAATAAATCGAGAATTGCAACGGTACAAGAGACGAGAAGAGTATGCAGAAGACTCCTGCATTCACTACTTGCAGTTTTAGCTCGTGACTTACTTGCAAGCCTCGCTCGAAGTCGAAGTCGAAGGCGCTGCCATTTTATAAGCTTCGTACACCTGAAAGAAATTTAAAAATAATCTGAAATCCTTCCATCTCTGCGATCTAAAATGTCGCCAGAAATTACGTCCAATGATCCTAGAAAGCTGATGTTACATGTTTAGAGGAATATACCATCATTTAATTTAAGCACAGGAACAAATATATCACGTTTTGTACAGAACGTCAAACACGCAAAACCCACGTTCTCGACGCGACGTGGTGACACCAGGACAACGGCTTGAGCATGCGCAACAGGTCTCCTCTTTGAAAATCTACTTCCTGTCGCGTCTTACAGCCGTCGCGTCTCGGATCTTAAAGTCCCTAATGTCCCCAAGGAGTATGTGTAGTTGTAAGAATAGAAGACTCTTCAGTAAGCTTAATAGTTTGAAAAGCATCTCTAATGTCAAACGTTGAGAAACGTTTCGCTTTGTCAAACCGATTCTTGAGGAGGGAAATCCCTTCGTAGGGCAGCCATTGCCTTCAGTCGTTTGGCTCTGATCCAATAGTCATCCGAGTCAACATCTTTAGCTGGGTTAATAAAATCCTCCATAATGCAAAAATTCCGAAAGTTAGCGTCAAAATAAGTGAAAGCTCGCCGCCGGTCAGGATCGCTAATGTCAAACACAGGTCTGTCATGATCTTTCCCCATGATTTCACGTGTTGGAGATCAAAGGCAGAGCACGCCACAGACGAGTGTGAATAATGAGTGTAAATAAGTTGAGAGTCTACGGGAGGAGTTCCCAAACATCTGACACCATGTAATTAAGAATAGCAGCACAACAGACTGATAACAAACTGGTTTACTTGAGCAAGATGACGGTCTTACAAGAACAACCTTACCGCCCAAAAGCATCATGGGTAAACCAACCACAGGATACCCAGCAAGTATATAACACCTCTACCTTCCAGAAGTTTTACTACATGGCAGTATTCAATTCAAAATATTGCCAAACTGGCCTCAGTTAATCATGAGTGTGTCCTAGGGAATCTTTTCCCCTGCGTTTAGGCTTTGCTATTGAGTGTATTTAACATCATTTTTTCAGAACTTCTATTTCTGAAATGCCTTTTGTCACATGTTTCAGACAGTAAAGTGGTCTCCCCAGGTTTATACCTAGGTGTTGAAATCTACCTAGTTTATTCTCATATATTTTAACCATAAGGCTGCATAATTGGGGTCATACAAACAAACAAAGGAAGAAATATATGAACCCTGCCGTCTATGTGGTGAAGTCTTTCCTCTATAACCCACTGTCCGCTCTCCTTGACCATCATCTTGTTAAGAGCTTTGTACTCCATAAGCCCTTGGTAATGTTGCTCTCTTGGGGGTTGTAGGGGCCCCTTTTTGGGGCATTTTTCTTTGTTGCTTAGTTCTGTATCTTGTATTTTTGTATTTTGCATTTTATTTTTACTCCATCCTATAGATAATACATTAGTTGTACATTATGAATTGGTACAAAGTTGCTTAAACTACGTGTACATAATAATAATAAAAGAAGAAAATTAGAATGGAGAAGGGCACATTATAGGAGAACTAAACATAGCCCTTTAACAAGATTGACTTTATTCTTTTGTAGTTATTCATTAAAAAACACAAACACGCATGCACGCACACACACACACACGCACACAAGTCAATATTGAGCAAGATAATATTTTTTAAGTGCCTTTTTGAACAGGATTTTCGATGATTTATTGGGAATAGAAAAGGGAAGATCGTTCCGAAAAAAAATAAATTATTTAAATACACAAAAAGGGAAAAAATAACACAAACTACCCAGCTTAAAAAAAGGTGGCCTTTATCATCGCTGACCGCTGACCGGCACAGTATCTTCATTGAGAACTCGCAAAATGTTGGGTAGGTATCATTGTGCTCTTCTGCATATTGCACTATTTTCTTTTCGCATTTAAATCTGAGGGAAGCTGGGAGTTTCTCAGTGATTGGGCGCGTCACTATCGTATAGTTCAAGCAGGCTAGTCCTGGCCAGTGAGTCTCTTGACAGTCTACATCCGCACAAAAGTCGGCTAGCTTCTGTAGTGTAGTACCATCTTTTTCGCTGAGGCAAGCCACTGTAGAAAGCCATTCGATAAGGGCCTGAAGCAATGCTGTTACATTACCAAAACGTGTTTCTAATTCTGTCCAAAGTTCTGTAAGAGTGCCCTGCCTCTTCCTGTAGTTGTCCACTAGCTGAAGGGGGACACCACTTATGTAACTCCTTAAGTTAAGCTCCTGATCGGCTGCTATGTCTGCATCTTTCACCATTACCCTAAAGGATCTCTTTCAGGAGTGCAATATGGCAACGTCCCCATTAAACACATGGAGGTGGCATCTGAGTAGGTTCTTCTTGTTGAGTCCTGCGACGAGTTGTTGATTGGTTGCTGTGAATGTTTTTAAGGGAATGCCTGTAAAGACGTCTTTAGGTGTGGAGTATATCACAGGTTGCCTACTGCTGAATCCTTGAGGATTCAAATAATTAGATGTGTAATGTAATGTGCTCCCGTGGACTGCTCATTTGTCTCAGGGGGGGCGGAGGGCATCTCTTTCCAGGAATGTATGGATTCGTGTTGGTGTGTTTATCTTCGGGGGCGGAGGGCGTCTCTTTCCAGGAATGTATGGATTCGTGTTGGTGTGTTTATCTTCAGGGACGTATGGGCTATTGTGGGTGGGAACTGTAATAACAAAACAGCAAAGAATAAAGACTGAAGTATTCCGATATTTTGAATGGACAAGCCGTTCTTCGAGGGATTTATTGTCACTTGTGGGTGTGTCCATCTTTGAGGTTGTGTTCGTCCCTGGGTGTGTGAGGGACCGAATGTGGGTACTTCGATAATACTAAAGACTTTTTTTTCGTTTTGTAACCTAAAAGAGTTAAATATTAGGTATTTTAACACTAACAGGAAAAAATTTTCTCTAACAGTAAATTTTATCCAGAAGGAAGCAAAAACGGGTCCAAAAAGGGTATTGTTATTTTGTTCAGTTTATCAAGAAGTTTTGGGCCACTTTCCGGAGAATCCCAATCATTTTGGAAGATTACTCTTCGGAAATCTTCAGCTGTATTCGGCACCGAAGATGTCCAATTTTTTTTTTGAAAAATAAAGAAAAGACAATAAAAAAGGAAAGAGAGAAAAAAAAGGCGTGTAGCTCAACAAAGAGTATATTTGACTGAAAAAGAAGGGATTTTTTAAGCCTTTTTGCCAAACAAATCGACACTTTCACTGTTTTGAATTTCACGACTTAGCGAGTTGAAAAACTTTGGACCTTAAAACCAAATTGAGAATTTTCGAAAATTCGTTGGACAATGAGGTATATAGAAAAAGCTGGAATTTCTTGTATTATGAGAATGCATCTGGCTTGCAAGAGTAAACATAAAATAATCAGGATGTAAGCCTGTTTAAAAAAAATGCATAAATTTTCCTATTTGGTATACATAAATGTCCGAGAATTTTAAAATCTCTTTAAGAAGAGCACTGGTATGAGAATCGAAAGAAACTATAGATATTATTCTGATTATCCTCTTTTGCAGAATAATAATCTGATTTAAGTAATGATCCAGGTAACAAGGGAAGCAATTTGTTTTTGTTGTGGCGCAATACGCTTTCCTCACATAGAAATGTTTTCATTTTCACGCAGAGAATGCATAAACCTTCAAAAAGCTAAGGCAGCTTACGAAAGAAAATGTATTTAAACTCTACTTTTAAAGGGTATATTTTTGTGTTAAAACATTTCGACCAATCACAAGAGTTGCAAACAATGGCTAAGAAATGTTCACAATTTAACATGATCCGCACATACGATTTCTGTGTTACTTAGACTCACACGAGAATTTGTTATAAGGAAGTGGAATAGAAAAAAGGGATTAATATACATGCTGTTTTGCGAAGATTTCGTAAAATTTGATGTTTAAACCAATCAGAACCATAGTAGAGGCAACAGTAAAGTTAGCATCTTTTTGCATTCCGACGTGTTCACTGCGTTTTGGTCCTTTCCTTCTTATCTGGACCATTACTTAAATTAGACTGATATGTCGATCCCCACACTGGAACACATATTAAGTAAGGGTAAACTAGACTATAGAACAAGCAGTGCAAGGAAGTTTTAGGAGGGCAAAACTAGATTTATAAATCATACCGTATTGATGTTGATATTTTTCTAGAAACGCTAACAAATGTGAGGCTTCCATGACAAATGCTCATCGAGGATAACACTTAAAAATACTGTTTCTTTCACACTTTTAATAACATTGTCAATTTGAATAGATATATCTAGTTTTTGCCTCTGTTGGGGTGGTCTAAAAACCATAACATTCGAATTTTTTAAGGTAATGGACAGTTTATTTGCTCGACACCATTGAGTTAATTTTAAGCATTTCAGAATTCAAGATTTCAGGAAGTAAGTTAAAATCTTTGTGGGGAATAAAGTCCACGATCATTAACACGTTACACCGATCATTTATATAGAGTATAAAGAGCAGGGGGGCCTAGTATAGAGCCCTGAGGCACCTGCACTTTATTTCGCAAGACTCTGAACTGATACCATTAAATTCCACATATTATTGTCTATTGCTTAGATAGCTTTTGAACCATCTAAGTGCAGTGCCCCGAAAATCAAAATGCTCTAAATTTTGAAATTAAAATGTTATGATCAAGGGTGTCAAAGGCTTTTTTATAGACAAGTCTACAAGAATACCAACTGTGTATTCCATATTTTCAGTAGTGGAAGAGATTTTGTCATATTAACAAGAAAGAGCAAAAGCAGTGAAGTGATACTTGCCAAAACCATTCTGATTGTCAGAGAGAATGTTATGGTCATTAAGAAACCTTAAAAGATGATTGTACATTACTCTCTCTAGAATTTTAGAGAATGCTGCTCAAAGAGACACGGGTCTGTAGTTTGTAAATATACCCTGCTCACCAGATTTAAATAAAGAAATAACTCAAGCAATATTTACTTGTTTTGGTACCGTGCCAGAGGTGATGGATAAGTTAATTATACATGTAAGAGGTAACATGATCATATCAACAGATTCTTCAATTAAGTTCATAGCAATGTTGTCATAACCTACAGCAATACCTGAACAACAAGTGCTACATATTTCAATACTTTCTTGCTCATTTGCGTCATGTAGAAATATTGAATTGACTAGTTTTGGGGGTGAAAAAGAATTATGCGACTTTTCTGATACAGGAATTTTGCTGGCTAAATTGGGACCAATGTTAGTAAAATATTTGCAAAAGTGATCAGCTGTTTTTTTGGGATTAGAAATTTCTCGAGAATCTGCCCTAAGTATGGATGGTAAACCACGCTCTCCTTTTTCTATTAAGTATTTCATGTATAACTTTTCAAGAGGCCTTGACATTTGATTTTAGTTTTTGAATTTGTTTTTCATATTATAAACGGTTAGCAACTCTAAGAGAATGAGTAAGTTTGTTTTTTGTACGACATATGCATTTTCATTGGAAGAGTTGGGGTTATTAGGGAAAGACTTATATAACATTTTTTCTTACTTATGATTTTGGCAAGACCTTTAGTAAACCAAGGCTTACGAAGATTGAACCATTTCACTTTCATTTTTATGAGTGGAAAACATCTATCGTAAATTGAAGTATACTTTTCAACAAAGATTTCATAAGTGCAAGATGGATCATTTAAACCAGACGAGTGACTAGGCGATTGAGGACAAAGTACGCAATTTTGCTGGCGTGCTTAGCAGCCTTAGGGTGCACTCGATTGGAGAATCTGGATTAAGGTTTTAAAATCCGGATTTCAGATTTGCAAATCCTTTTTCGGATTTCCCAAAGTACAAAGGAAATCCATGAAATCCGGATTTGGATTTCTTAATTGAAATCCACCCTGAGGACGGATTTCTGGAGGTGAAATCCATTTTTGGATTTTACATGCGATTGCAAAATCCGAAATGCGGATTTCAAAATCTAAATCTGGATTCCCCAATCCAATACATCCTAGAGTTGAGAATGCGACATCCACCCTGACGTGCAAACCAACGAGCTTTTCTTTCCGAGCTTTTCTTAAAACTTGCTGAGGTTGCTTCCAGTCATGAAGGTGATATACTATTGTGCGTGGCTCATTTGCATCAACACTGCCTTTCTTCTTTCGTCGCTCTACATGATGAGCTCTCACACTGTCTATATTCATGTCAAGCTAAGCCTTGATGGCGTCTTTAACTTTGGATTCAACTTCATCCCAAGTCTCCTTCTGACCCTCAGCAATTCCTTTAATACGCACATTATTTCTCCTTGACTGATATTCTAGGTACTCGGCTTTCAGCTCTTGTTGAACCAGATCTGAATTTAACTGATCGATCTGGTCCTTGGCCTCATCAAGCTCAGGTGCAAAGGGCTGAAGTTCTTGGATGTCTTATTGGGAAATTTCCAAACTTGCTTTGAGGGAATTAACCGACTCAACCACGTCATCGACCCGCGCCATGAGTGATTTCATAACTGAATCAAACAGTCCTCGGATCCTCGCCAATGGCTTTCTAGACAGCGGACTTTGTGGACTTGACCAGAGCTTCAGAGCATCCATTCTGATGTGGGGCAAGGGGCGTAGTGAATTGCCATTTCATACCCCTGTCGGCACAGTACTCGCGTAGCTTCGTTTTGTCCCATCCTTCGATCATAAGACACAATTCTCTTTCTGCTCCCACCATTTGCGACCCGTTGTCAGACAGCATAACTTTCGGATGACCACGGTAGGAGAAAAATCTTCTTAAAACTTGCAAAAATTCCATAGTGCTTGCTTCAGTGGCAAGTTCGCAATGAATGGCTCTCATGTTCAGGCATGTAAACAGTACACCGTAGTGTTTAGCGGTCTTGTTCCTGCTGATCTTTACTTTGATGGGCCCAAAGTAGTCACATCAAGTAAACATGAACGGTGGCGTGAATGGTTGAAGGCAACATGTAGGTAACTTTGCCATTAGCTGCATCTCATTAACATTGATATCCAATGGTCGTATGGCAAGAGGGCAGTGTGCTTTGAATTGTCCGACACGAGAGCTGGATTGACACGCCCACCAACTGCAGTGATTCCGATGTCGTTTACAATTGGGTTTAACGTTTTGAAGTCTCCTCTGGCTATTCTTGTGGAAAGTCCAAGTTGAGGCTATGCGAAATTTTTGTGTTTTTTTTTACTTCTTCAGTATCTGGCGGATCTACAGAGACTTTATCGCTTTCTCTATCCCTGTGTGTTTTGTTGCAGAGGTTGTTACAGAAGCAGATAACATAGGTGGTAACTTTCAGCAATCATTTCCATGTTGAGAACTTTCTGCAGTCAATCACGGCCAGAACTCTTTATCTTGCTGCAGGAACTTGGGGCCCCGTATAACCATCTTCCGTTCATTTATTCAACCAAGATTCCTTTTGTTAAGTGATCAGAAACGTTAATCATGGTAGGACAATGGAACCAATCTGCGGGCTTTGACTTTCTTTGTATCTCGCCAACTCGAGAGGAGACGAATGGTTTGAAGCTTCTACTTTCACTCCTTATCCAAGAATTGTAACAAGGCTGTCTGAGAAGTATCGTATTCTCTCAAACTTAAATCGCGATTCTTCCACGATGTTGTTTCCAAGGCGGCTGGCGATGACAGCTGCTTGTAACTCAAGGCTGGGGATAGTGAGTTCCTTTAGGGGAGCGTCCCTAGACTTTGCTGCTGCAAATCGCACACCGAACCTTCCATCCTTAAGTTATCATTGGACATAAGCACATGCACCAAACCCTGAAGACAATCACTGAAGGATCTCCACTTGCGTTGGGAGGTGTGAGGCAACGTTGGAACTTGACATTGTTTAAGGCGATCATTTCTTCAAATAACTTATCCACTTTCGCTTAATTTCTGGTGGGACCTCATCATCCCAGCCAAGGCCAATTTGCCATAGTTCCTGCATTGCAATCTTCGGCTTCACAAGGACTGCTGCTCCAGCTCCCATTGGATCGAATACACCTTCTAGCTTGCTCAGAATTAGACGTTTTTTCAGTTTCAGGGGGATAAACGTGCCTGGATCTCCCGAAGGAAGGTTTTCTTTAGCCAATTCAAGTTTGATTGTAAACGTAAACATGTCTTCCTGAGGAAGCCACACTGTTCCTAAGACCTTTTCTACTAGGCTTTCACCTCCAATTGTAACTTCACTTGGGTTTTCGTTTACATGACTTTGTGCACTGGAAATCCACAGCTTCACATGAAAACCGCCAACATTAAGAACCCCATGAACATCTGACATCAATGCTTTCGCTACCTGAATATTGACTGAATCACAGATGTCGTCTACATAGGTGTTCTTCAAAATAGCTTCAGCGGCCCTGGGTTTCTCTTCTTTCTTCATGTTCGCCGTCTTCCACATTTCTGTAATAGCCATCGTTGGCGCTGGGCGGTCGCCAAACGCAACAACAGTCTTAACGTACGTATCTGGCTCATGGTGAACTTCATAATTTCTCAACAGGAATCTCTGCACATGCTGATCTTCGGGTATGGCGATCATAAATGATACATCTTTGCAATGTCTCCACAAATAGCGTAGGGGTTCTCGCAAAATCGTATCACAAGACCAAAAAAATTGTTTAGCAGGTCAGGTCCCTTGAACCAGTAGTCATTGAGGGTATGGCCGTTATATGATCCTGAGCTGTTAAATACAATTCTCACTGGCGTACTTTTCTTCTCTGGGTGTATAACTGCATGATGGGAGACGTAGTGTATCGGCCCTTTCCAAGAAGTCAGTTCCTTTGGGGACAGCTTCCTTGCAAATTGCATTGTTTCCATCTCCTGGATTTTATTGATGTAGCTGGAGGCGTTCTCTGGATTTTTCATGAGGCTTCGTTCTACTGACTCTAACTTCTCCTGTACTTGAACGTAATTATTTGTCAGAGTAGAAGGACTTCTTTTCCAAGGGTATTTCATTATCCACTTGTTCTCTTGCAACTGACAGGATTCTTCTATCAGCTTGAGCTGTTCTCTTTCCTGTGCTGACAATTTGGCACCTTCACAGGTACATGGCGCTATGGACACACCCATCGATTCTGTCTTCCATAAATCAGTCATGTCAACTGGTTGGGCAATGCGAACAATAGACACTTGCTTGATTTGCGGCATTGAATCTTCGGTGTTGGAACCAAATATCACCAAACCAAGTGGGCTCTTCCTTGCGACTAATGTTCCCTTTACTTTCGTTTCACCGATGTGGAATCTTGAATAATTTATTCCTATCAGAACATTGATTCATTGGTTGTCGTCTGAACCGGGGCCAAAGAGATTCGCTAATGCAGTCACATCAACTTCCGTTATTTCATCTGATGTTTGAGGAATGCTGACTGCTTGTATAACTTGAACTGCTTTGCCATCAGATGTGTAGACAGGAAACTTGTAAATCTTTGTTGTCAGCTCCTCTGCAATACCACCGACCTTTGTAATCAGAATTTTGACAGGCTTGCTTTGAAGACTTCAGCGAGGCTGCTACGTATCATGGGTATTTAAGCACCAGTCAAAAAATATGGTGACTTCTGTGAATGCATCTGCGTTGGAGTGTGCTTTAATTGCTCCTGTTACTACCCAAAGTAACGCCAAACCCTTGTCCTGTAGCGCGGAGACTTGTACTGAATCAGGTGCTTCTCCACTATATAAGTGCAGGAGTTTATGGTGGGACTTCTTACATGCTGTGCCATCGCTATTCTTTTCAGAACATGTCTTTCTGCGCAGGCAATTTGCGGATGTATGATCTTTACCGCACTTCCAACATGAAAACACGCTTTTTAATCCTTAACAACCTCCAACTGTTCATTGGGCGTCATTGCTTTAAATCGTGGGCACTCATCAACGTAGTGATTTGCTTTACATACATAGCACTGCTTCTGATTTTTGTCACGTTCACTGGAGGAATTCCCATTTCCATCAGCACCCAGTAAATTGAGGGATGGACGAGTGGTACTGCCAGTTTTGCGTATCGTTGCTCCAGATCGAAGCCTTGCAGTCATTTCTTCGTCCATTCATTTAGGCAAATTTTTCATTGAAGGCTCCAACTTCTGTGAGTGAATGTGGCGGGCCCAAATTTTCACGTCATCGTTTGTCATCGTGTGTTTGATCAGTGATATTACAAGGGTGTTGTCGATATCTTGGGTGCGTTTCACTTCCTTTAGAGTGTTGTACGATCTTCGCACGAGATAAACTAAATCACAAAATCGGTGGTCTTTGCCTGTCTGTGCCGCTTTAAATCGCTCTATATCGGATGTAACAACATCAGACATCATCCGAGGATCGCCTTAATTCTGGTCTAAATAATTCCATGCGGACTTCAGATCGGTGCTTATTCCTTCAACTAACTTTGCTGGTTCTGGTCCCAAACATGAACGCAGAATAGAAATGGCATCTCTCGCGGAACATTATTTTTCAACAGCATGCTGAAAGTCGGCCTTAAAAATGAAATATTTGCGCACATCACCATAAAACAGCGGCATTTTGGGCTTTTCATGCTTCGTTACAAGGGGCATTCATGATTTATTCTTTTGCTTAGCTGCACCGCTTTGTTAGTTTTCGTTTTCATTGACAGCTTCCACTATGCATTCTTGTGATCCGTGAGTTTCTTGCTCGCTAACATTGACAACGCTGGCTGTGTTTACTTCTTTATCTTTGTCCTTACAATAATCATTCGTGCGTATCATAAACTCCAGAAATTGCAATGTACAATCCTCCACTTAATGTTCGGCTTCAGGGTATTCTTCATCATTAAGAGACTTATTATATATATTCCTCGTGTCTGGCAATGAGATTGTCGTGTGCAGCTTTAACTTCGTCAAATACGTGCTGAACTTCTAATCCCAGGCGACTAGAATCCAGAAACATTCGCCCAGCGTTGAGGGATCGGGTAAACGCAGACTTTGCTGCCTGACGCACATTCTTTGCTTTTTCCATTGATTCCTCACCAGCAATACTGCTTCAGTTTTCAAAGATCTTCAGATGATAGACCGTTGAGAAATCCAATATTAACCATAAAGGACCAGAAACATTGAAAGCTCGGTAGATTCAGGATTGGAAAATGTTTAAATTACGACAGAAACAGTTACAATCATGTTTCTAATTTTGAAAGGAAAATCAATAGCAAATGACTAAATGAAAACAAAATACGATCAAAATGTTTTACGTTCACTCACATCTGTCCAAGCTTTGTAAACGTTTTGGCATCCAAATACCGAACATCAAAAGGCACATTACATAAAAATTACACCCGTAAACATCAAAATTATTTCTTAAAGGTTAACATGCGGTCTTTTGCAATCATATCAAATGTCACATGTCAGTCAACAATTGTTAGTTCGAATCACGGCAGACTCGGAGAATTTCAGCCAACTATATTTCGAAAGTCGAAAACGCACTACTTGCACAATGTAAATCCTGTATCAACTTGTAGATAACAATCGTACTCAAACGACAGCAAATGAAGACATTGGGCGCAGACCTCGTGGTCAGTTCGTAGAAGCTTGTATGTGGTTTTCTGGCAAATTACATAGGTAAATATCACTCGAAATTACCATAACAATTCTCAAATGTAGAAAAAACAGGCTAACTTACCGAACTGTTCGGCTTCAAAATGCTAATACAGGTAGAATATACTCAAATACTATCCTTACTCACGATAATAAACTCGACCAAGGTAAAAATGTTTTTGAGTCACGTGACGATAAACAAACAAATTACTCCTAAGGGGAGTCGGGAGCGACACCGGCTCCTAAGTGAATTGCCCGAAATTTATTTACAAACAAAGGCTAACGACTCCAACAGTCCACATTCTCTAGCTAATAAACGGTCATTTCACGAAATAATCTTTCTTAGTCTTCCATCTCCAGACGACACAAGCTTGTGACAGGTCTTGTACGCACAACAGTGCTAGTTTTCGCCTCTCCGCTACGCTGTCTCTTACCATGGGTAGCTACCGTGGAGGCGGTTTTCACTTTCGCCACTCGTACACAGCCGTCATCATCAGCAACTACCTCCCAAACACGTGCGATTGGCCATTCACCACAAGGGTATATTTCATCTGCAAGTAGAACTAGATCTCCCACCTTGATATTCCCTTTAGGTGATCTCCATTTCTGTCCTTCCATAAGAGTCGGTAAGTACTCATTAGACCATCTCCGCCAGAACACTCCACTTAAGTACTGACCTTGTCTCCACACATGCCTAGAATGAAGAACCTCTTTGTTGAACATCCCTGGTGGCAAGCTTAGTGTCGGACATAAATGTAGCAAATGGTTGGGGGTCAACGGCTGATCATCTAGGTCACTGTCGCTGTTGCGTGACAAGGGTATCATAATAGCAAGTACTTCATCTGTTACGATCTGCTCTTTCAGTAATGACTTCAACACTCTCTTCGTAGTTTGGACCATTCTTTCCCAAATTTCCATTTGATTTCCCTCTGCGCACAGAAATTACTGATCTTGTGATGATCCCATTTTTCAACAGCATTTCTTAACTCCTTGTACCAGGCGGTTTCATCCTTCGGGCGGCTCTAAGAATTTCATCCTTTTGCTTCCAATGACGTAAACGACACACTATGGTTCTTGGGCTTGTGTTGATACCATCAGCAGCACCTGGTCTTGATCTTGTTCCAGTGCGATGCGCTTGCTAAATCACCGGTTCAAAGCTCAAGTGTAGCTTTTCCTGAAGCACTTCCTTCACTCCTTCACATGTTTGTTTCAGTATTCAGCCAGTTCTCATTGTCTTCTTCGGGAATTCCATCGATACGGACATTATTTCTTCGGCTTTGGTTGTCGAGATATTCCAATTTTTCTCCGTGTTTATGTAGGCCATGTTGGATGTCCTCAAGTTCTTCGTCCATGTCGTCTATGGCGTTTGCAACTTCCTTTAAGTCGTCGATATCTTGTGAGCATAGTGAGCATCCATCATGAGTTCATCTGTTCCAAATCTCTCTTGGAGTAAATTTACAGCTACTTTATAGCTGGTGTTAGTTCCAGTCCAGAGATAACTACACTTGCATCTCCTTCTAATTCAGCTCTTAATGGTTGAATTTGTCCACAGATGGAAGGTTTGGATTCTTGTGAATGGAGGCCTCAAAAGAGACCCAAAAATTCTTGCCACGTCAAAATATTTTCATTGAATTTCTGAAGTTCCAGTTCGGGAAGCTTGATAGTGGGAGTGTGACGAGTAATTGGAACACCAGACTTTTTTTCCAATTCAAGACGTTTTTGTTCCACTTCTGCTTCATCTTGAGTTCTATATCTGCAGTTGTTCTTTTGATCTCCATTTTCATTTCAGTTTGGGCCAACTTCCTTTTAGCTTCGAATTTCAACTTCAACTTGTCCATTTGAATCTGTTTCTCTTGGTTAAGTTTTGCGAGGTGAAGGCCCTTCTCTTGTTGAAGTTTTTCCATTTGAAGTTCTCTTTCGTGAACTCTTTCCTTCTGGTTTTCCTCCTTTTCAGTTGTCTCCTTTTTTCGTTTAGCAATATCGATCAGAAATGTTTTAAGAGCACAAATAGCTTGGTCTTCATCAAGCGCAACAATACTGAACTCCTCCATTGCATCTTCCAGTCGCTGGCTTTTAGCTTCGTCTTCTTTGG